CCGCCGCCGACGACAACGACGACGACGGCGACGACGACGACGACGACGGCGACGACGACGACGGCGACGACGACGACGACGACGGCGACGACGGCGGTGGCGCGCTCTCGTGGAGAGACCACGCGGCGACGCAACGATCCGCGCCGGAAGCGGAGCGCGCAGCTTCCGACGCGAGCATCCTCGTCTTCCCGACGCACAGCGATGACGTCACGTGTTCTTCCGCCGCCGCGCGGCAGGGACCGAAAGCCAGGGATCTTCCGCGTCCGATGTTTCCGGATCAAACGGAATCGTTTCAGGTTCCGGATGAATCGGGAGCTTCATCGGGGCTGGATCGATCAGGATCTCTCCCGGATCGATCAGAATTAGTCCTGGCGCGACCGGAATCGTTCACAGTCCCGGTTCAACGGGAATCGTTCCTGGATCGACCACGATCGTTACCGATCCTGGATCAACCGGATGGACCAACATCTTTTCCAGTGTCAGATCAACCAGAACCGGTCACGGATCAACCGGAACCGGTCACGGATCAACCGGAACCGTTCCCGGATCGACCGCGATCGTTACCGATCCCGGATCAACCGGATCCATTCCCGGATCGACCAACATCCTTTCCAGTGTCAGATCAACCGGAACCAGTCCCGGATCAACCGGAACCATTTCCGGATCGACCGCGATCGTTACCGATCCCAGATGAACTGGATCCATACCCGGATCGACCAACATCTTTCCAGGTCTCAGATCAACCGGAACCGGAACTGCAATCGTTTCCGGATGAAGTGGTGACGTTCGCGGACGGACCGGGAGCATCGCAGCGTTGCGGCGCGTCCCAACAGACGACTATCGGGAGCGGCTGGAAACCGCAGACGACTGCGGTGGCCGCCGCCAGCAGGGGATGGTTCGAGTTGGCTCCCACCGCCCGCATCGCAGGTACGCTGTTAGCGGTCACGTCCCTCTGTATAGCGACCGGCTGTGCGTGCATGCGTGGCTTTTGTATGCAGGTTCGACTGTATGTTGACTTGGCGTTCTGTCCCCTTCTCTCTCTCTCACTTCCACTCTATCTTTCTCTGACTCTCACTCCTCTTCTCTTTCTCTTTTCTCTCATTCTCTTTCTCTCTCACTCTCTCTCTCTCTNTCTCGGGGGTACTGGCTGCTACTGAAGTACTGACAGTGTCAAGATGGCGACGACATCGTCTTCGGGATTCGTCTTGAGCCCCGACAAGGATCACATCAAATTGGCTCAAGGATAACCGATTGGCTGAGGATTAGTTGACCGAGCGACCTGGCGATGCTGGGCGACATTGTTGAGAATTAATGTTGTTTTCCGTATATGTTTTCGTCTGAATGCGTATCCGTCCTGTCTGTCTGTTCTCTGCCTCTCTCTCTCTCTCTCTCTCTCTCTCTCTCTCTCTCTCTCTCTCTCTCTCTCTCGTTCTTTATTCTCCCCTCTCTTCTTCTCTCCTGCTCTGTCTCTCTCTCTTTTTTTTCTCTCTCCCTCTCTCTGCTCTGTCTCAACTTTCTCTCTCTCCCTCTCCCTCTCTCTCTCTCTTCTCTCTCTTCGTCTCTCTTCTCTCTCGGTTCTCACGCTCTCTCTCTCGTTATTATTTTCCCCTCTCTTCTTCCTCTCCTGCCTCTGTCTCTCATTCTCTCTCTCCCTCTTTCTCTCCCGGCTGTTCTTCTCTTCTCTCCCCCTTAATTTCTCCTTATCTTCTTTCTCTCTTCTTTCTCCTCACGCCTGTTTGTGTTCATGCTCTTTTTCTCTATCTCTCTGTCTACACACACCGCCGCACGCACGCCACGCACGCACGCACGCACGCACGCACACACACACACACACACACACACACACACACGCGCACCACACACACACACACAACACACAACACACACACAAGCAAAAAACTTTGAAAGTATAAGTTAACCAAACCAAATGAAATTGCTTAAAACTAGGGTCTCCCGCGGTAACGGCCAAACATGTAAGACCTGCATGGCTAACTAAACTTGTGACTGCTCTGGAACGAGATATTCTTTAAAAAATCGTATACGGCGGATGCACTTGGAACGGAAGTTAGGGGTTGAAAAATGGGCCGGTCTCTCCGCGGCCCCACATACCTAACATGCAATATATTATTGGAGTTGCCCCCGTCCCCCGGGCCGCCAAAAGATCCACCCCCCCCTGCTCTATTTACAATAGTCTCGGGGCTAAGTACGTAATCTAAAACGTAAATTCGTAGAACCACTTCACTCGCGATAGCGAACGAATTTTTGTCTATATGGCTAAACTTTAGAGGAGCATAAAAAACGGGTGTTTTTTAGTAAAAAGGAACTCGCCTATATATTTGCTTATATCATTTAATAATTTCATATTTATCTATCACAGTGTTTACTGGCGCGTAACTTTTGCTTGCCAAGTGTACTCTCCAAAGCATACAACGCTTTTCTGGCATCATATCGACTGAACAGTCAATATAATTTTACATTGCAATCATACTTGTGCTACATCGGAAGATTCGGGGGACTGTTGCGGTCCGAAAATCCTTTCTGCTAGGGAGCACTTCTACCATCATTCAATGAATGTCAATTTTTTCAAAAAAAGGAAAGATTTGGCTACGCGAAGTTGCGCGGATACGGAAAATTCATTTTTTGGTCCGGACGCGCACTGACTTATGTATCGCGCGGCCCGTACTACTGTATAAGTTGTGATTTTTTTCCATGCGGTTACGCACCGCACTACTGAACTGAACAAAAACGATTAAATACGAAGGAAGTCATTGAGACGCGCACCGCAATTGTACCTTTAAATCGCTATGGCGATTAGTCAGCTCTCGCTAAGTCGGGACTTGTAAAATTTGGTCAGTGGCCTCTGGGGAAAAGGGGGGCAGCTTACCACTCTGGATTTTCGAAGCAAAATTAAAAAGTAAGCTTAGCTAATAATTTCGTAAATAACCCTAACGCTGCCATTTTTTTCGGTCACTTATCCGTGAAAGCCTTATCTTCTGGACCCACCCCTACCACGCTTATGGACGTCGATCAAGAGCTGCGCCCGTGCTGGCGTCATCATTACATAGTTTGAGTGGATAAAATTTTTGCCCCCCCCTAGGGAATTTGCTCAGCCTACGGCCCTGATCTGATCTAGCTTAGATTCTTGTATCTCTGCAATCCGCTATTTGGAATTCTCTCCCTTATTCTTTAGATTAGTTTGCAAACATGAGGCTTTTTCTACTGCGGATCCGCGTGCTTGGATCTGTCTTATTTGATCAACTTTGTCTCATTCCGTCCTCGTTATTAGTTCCTTCGTAATTATTTTACGAATATTATATGAGCTGGAGATGGAGCTAACGCCCGGCTCCCCAGCCGCGTTAGATAAGCCGCATGAATAAGGCTGACGCTTCGTCATGCAGCCTGAGATTGGAAACGCTTGGCCCACGCCGACCTTGCTAGAACAAAACTAGGACCGAGCGCTTGTCCGTTCCGTCGACACACACAAGAAGTCTAAAAACAGCGGCACCAGTGCAAACTGAACGTGGTCCGGATGGGCGGAGCAGGTCAAGGGAGCATGCATATCAATGCCGAGAGACATCCACTGGTAAGAACTCGACTGCCAGCGATGCAGAGCGACGCGTGCAGGATAAGCGAAGGTATCGTTGTTGTTGTTGTTGTTTGTTGTTGTTGTTGTTTGTTGTTGTTGTTGTTGTTGTTATGTTGTTCGTTGTTGTTGTTGTGTTGTTGGTTGGCTGTTTCGTCTGTTGTTGTTGTGTTGTTGTTTTTTGTTATGTTGTTATTGTTGTTTGTTTTTTTTGTTAGTTGTTGTTGTTGGTTGTTGTGTTGGGGGTTTTTTTTGTTTTGTTGTTTTCGGTTTATTTTTTATTTTTCGTTGTTGTTGTTTCTTCTTATTTTATTATTTTTAATAATATATTGCTTTATCGTTATTTTTGTTGCTGTTGTTGTTGCTGCTGCTGCACAACATAACTATCTTACTATATTCACAAAACTTGGAACATAATAAACATGGCATTTTTCTTCTCGCATTGGCCTAGCTCTTCATGAACTCTGGTCAGCGATGCAAGGTGGGCGGCCAGAGGAGATCGGAACGCCTCTGCGACTTGTTACAATCTCATCAAGAACCTGCACCACGTTTTGACAAAAAATTTGTCAATAGCAAGCGTTTAAACGTGGAAAGGCAAGTCATATCCGCCCGCTATAGGTTACGCTTTACAGTTCTTTCCATTTACAATTTCGTTTCCCTTCACATTTTCTTTCCTATGAACGTATGGTGGTCATTCTGCCTTCTATCATGCACTGTGTCAGGCCATTGGTATAATGTTAGCAATGCTAGTTGATGATTAGAGATTCTGTCCTTGGTTAGTTACGCAGCGCCATGCAGGACAGGTTAATTTTTATGTGCTACAAAACCAGACAAAAATTTAGTTTTATACCACTAAATTCAATTCTGTTGCCACAAAATTCCGAATGATGTTAAAATTCTGGATATTACAAAATTCATTTTTGAGTTTTGTGCTGGACAGGATTGACAGAATTTGAGTTTTGCTGTCACGAATGCAGTTTTTGTGGGGACAGGTATTGACAGAATTGCAGTTTTGTATCACAAAATTTGGTTTTTGTGGGACAGGATGGACAGGAACTTGAGGTTTTGTGTTCACGAAATTTGAGTTTTGTGGGACAGGATTGATAGAATTGAGTTTTTGTGTTCACAAAATGAGTTTTGTGGGGACATGGATTGACAGAATGAGTGGTTTGTATCACAAAATTGAGTTTTGTGGCGACAGGATTGACAGAATAAATTTTGTGTTCACAAAATTGAGTTTTGTGGGACAGGATTGCAGAATGAGTTTTTGTCTTGTTGCACTCAAATATTTGAGTTTTTTGTTGGGACAGGGATGCAGATTGAGTTTTGTGTTCACTCAACACAAATTTGAGTTTTGTGTTCAATTGGAGTTTTGTGTTCACAAAATTGAGTTTTGTCCACAAAATTGAATTTTGTGAGACAGCAATTGAATTTTGCTGCCCACCAAAAGTGAAGTTTTGTCCACAAAATTGACTTTTGTGAGACAGAATTTTGAGTTTTGCTGCACAAAATTGAGTTTTGTCGAGACAAAATTGAGTTTTGTTTAGACAAATTGAGTTTTGTCCCACAAAAACTCATTTTTGTTCAAGTTATATAGGCTACAAAATGGATTTTGTGACAAATTGAGCCATGTCCTTACTTGTCGCGTCCCCGATTAAGTTTGCCTCATATTCTTTCCGGTATCCTCATCTTTTCTTCGCATCTTAAACTATTTGAAAAGAAATGGCCCGAACCGCATTGCTAAAAAACGAAGCCCAACAAACTTGACCGCCATTCTGTAACGAATTCAAATAGATAATCGTTGTTTATGACAATGATGGTGGACGACGACGAGCAATGATCGATGATGACGATGAGGAGTGTGCCATGATAACGACGCACGACGACGACGGATGATGACGGATGATGACGATGATGATTGACGAATGAGGATGATGATGATTGATGACTGCCTTGCTGCATTAGTTGATTGATAATGCATGATAAATAATAACAATAACAACAAAGCACATACAAAAACGCAATGCAATTTTGGCGCCACATGTTCAGTCCGCAATTTTTCTTGTAGGCCAGCTATATCTGATTTCCCGAATTCTTTCTTTTCAAGATTGTTTACAGGATCAGGAACTGTCTGTATTCATTAACCGGAATCTTAAGATGCGGAGGACGATTAAAGCATAGGAATTTCAATTGACATGACTGAATTCGTCACTGGACATATTGTCTAAAAACAGGGACAGAAGGCTAATGCAGCATCCGAGGTAGTGCAGGCCCTGAAACAGGTGCGGGTAAAACTAAAACACGACACGCTCACACGTATTCAGATTACAGTCAGCGTCTGCCTGTGCACCTGGCTCTACTGAGAGAAGGACCTACCTGTAGCTTCTACCATATTGTTAACCCTTCACTCAACCAACAGACCTGTACGCCTACCTTACTGTAACCCGTTCACTCGACAGAGACCTGTCAGCTCTACCTATGTAACCGCCTTCATGGTGAAGGAGTTACATGGGGGTAGCAGCTACAGGTATGTGGGTCGAGCTGAGGCGTTACCATGGGTTAGAGCTACTCAGGTCTGTGGCTGGAGTGATAAGGGTTACATAGGTAGAGCTACAGGTCTGTGGTGGAGTGAAGGGTTTTACATGGTAGAGCTACATGGTCTGTGGTGCAGTGAAGGGTTACATAGGTAGAGCTAGCAGGTCTGTGGTGGAGTTGAAGGGTTAATAGGGTAGAGCTAACAGCGTCTGTGTGGAGTGAAAGCCTACATAGGTAGAGCTACCAGGTCTGTCGGTGGGTGAAGCGCGTTACCATAGTAGAGCCATACACAAACACGGCACTGCGCCACGCCACGCCACACACACACACACACACCACGATACAGATGGCATTAAACTATTTGAACTGGGCCGGAAAATGTATTTGTATTCAGCCTGAAAAACGAACAGGACTTCAAAGTACTGCACGCCAAAGATTCACCACTTCTATCAAGACGCGTGACGGAACCATTGGCCGCCGCTTAGAGGAACTGGAGCGGGCAAGGACAGGGGACGAAGTAAGATCAGGATCCATTTCTCCCTGTCCATTATTCTTACAGCATCATCACGCCGGCCCTTCAAATCACCCTCACACGCGGCCCCTATCTTACCCATTAGCCGAAACCAAGCTTTGGTAAATCATTGCCAAATTAATTTAATCGATTACATTCGAATTGAGGATCACATTCACTTATACGTTCAAACATAATCGCCCAGTTACATTGGCTTTAGAAATGCCATGTACGACAGCACACCCCATCCTTATATATACGCCCGCGTTGCCGTCAATTTTTTTTCTCTCTCTTCAGTTGGCGTTTCCCTTCTTTTTTTTGCGTCGCAATTGCTCACGCGATGATGACGACGTCTATATATAGGAAATAAAATGGCTGAAAGATGATCGTCACCTGCCATAAAAGACGAATGGTGCGTTCCAGAGCTAAGACGAATGCGGCGTCTGAGCAACGACGGACATCCGCCGGAACTTTAGAGCAGGTAGTTCGAACAACTTCGTCAAGTTGTCGAAAACGAGAGGACGGGTTGGTTGAGTATGATCAGCCAGCGATTTAATGAATGAGTTTACGCGACGAAAAACCGACGGATAGCGGACTCTGCCGTTAGCTTTCTCACCGTCTTATCTCAATTATAGCCATATTGATCGCAGGGGGCGATAGGCTGAGCAAATTCCTAGCGCGGGGGGGGGGCAAAATTTAATGACTCGACTGTGTGAACGATGAGCGACGCGGCCGCAGCTCTTGAATCGACGTCCATAGTGTTGGTAGAGGGTGCGGTCAGGAAACGAGGCTTTTCGACGGGATAAATGACCAAAAATTTCCTTTTTTACGATTATTACTTTTTTTATTTTGCTTCCAAAAGATCTAGGTGGAGGGGGCAGCGTCCCTTTGCCCCCCAGAGACTTTACGGCCCTTGATGATTTACAAACAGCCTTGCACGTCATCTATATAATTGAATAATGTATATTACCGTAGATTAGAATACTTATATTATCCAACCATGTATAATTTCCAATCTACATTCAATTCCAAATTCTAACATAGAGACGGCGGGTTCACATAAAGTCTGGGCAGGCGACATTGTCCGAGTTTAACAATCTGGACGCGTGCTGGCTGATTGACATCATTTGTCTTGTTTCAGTTGGTGAGAAGGAATGCATCGTCAGACATAGAACAGCATTCCCAATAGTGCATCGCGCATCACAAGCAAATTTGGTAAGGCTAACTAAAGCTGTATTGGTCGAATTGGCGAGACACAAATTAATTGGATCCATTCCATCATTGGACCAATTCCCAACTTATTGAAACCGACAATCGGCCAGTGTAATAACGCCAAAGTGCGCGACCAGCAGCCCGACATAGAAACTTAGTTGGGAATTAGAACATGTTTATCTGTCATCGGAGTTGCCAAATTGCGAAAGTGGTCCAACTCGCCAAGTTCGCCAACATAAAGTCGAGAGTGAACCCAGCTCCACACCCCAGTAAATGTCGGTGAGCTTAACATCCTAACGTTGATTGGTCGAACGCGGACCCTCACCCCACACCCAAGTAAAGCTCCGGGGACTAACTAACCCTTGCTCTTTTTCACCTAACCCACCCTCCACTTCGCACCCGGACGCCGGACCCGACCATGAATCGCACTTCACCTTGCACTCACGCATGTGTCTTTCCTGCGGTGTTTCTCGTCTAGACGTGCAGTGCGGCAACGTCTCCATCTTCACAACGCTCAACCAAACCGTGTCGGCCAGAGACGTGCCGGCGATGGCGGCCGGACAGGTGGCAGCACCGACGCGAGATGCCGAAGACGCGTGCGTCGCCTTGCCACCTGCCTCTGTCACCAGGCCCGCGCTGCCTGCTGCCGAGCCACAGTCTATAGGCCCAGGAGAAGCCACCGCCGCCGCTGCCGCCGACGACAACGACGAAGACGGCGACGACGACGACGATGACGACGACGGCGGTGGCGCACTCTCGTGGAGAGACCACGCGGCGACGCAACGATTCGCGCCGGAAGCAGAGCGCGCAGCTTCCGACGCGAGCATCCTCGTCCTCCCGACGCGCAGCGATGACGTCACGTGTTCTTCCGCCGCCGCGCGGCGGGGACCAAATACCAGGGATCTTCCGCGTCCGATGTTTCCGGATCAAACGGAATCGTTCCATGTTCCGGATGAATCGGGAGCTTCATCGGGGCTGGATCGATCAGGATCTCTCTTGGATCGATCCGAATTAGTCCTGGTGCGACCGGAATCGTTCACAGTCCCGGTTCAACGGGAATTGTTCCCGGATCGATCCGAATTAGTCCTGGCGCGACCGGAATCGTTCACAGTTCCGGTTCAACGGGAATTGTTCCCGGATCGACCACGATCGTTACCGATCCCGGATCAACCGGATCGACCAACATCCTTTCCAGTGTCAGATCAACCGGAACCGGTCCCGGATCAACCGAAACCGTTCCCGGATCGACCGCCATCGTTACCGATCCCGGATCAACCGGCTCCATTCCCGGATCGACCAACATCCTTTCCAGTGTCAGATCAACCGGAACCAGTCCCGGATCAACCGGAACCAGTCCCGGATCAACCGGAACCGTTTCCGGATCGACCGCGATCGTTACCGATCCCAGATCGAACGCGATCGTTACCGATCCCAGATCGACCGCGATCGTTACCGATCCCGGATCAACTGGATCCATACCCGGATCGACCAACATCCTTCCAGGTCTCAGATCAACCGGAACCGGAACTGCAATCGTTTCCGGATGAAGTGGTGACGTTCGCGGATGGACCGGGAGCATTGCAGCGTTGCGGAGCGTCCCAACAGATGACTATCGGGAGCGGATGGACCCAGCAGACGACTGCGGTGGCCGCCGCCAGCAGGGGATGGATCAAGTTGGCTCCCACCGCCCGCATCGCAGGTACGCTGTTAGCGGTCACGTCCCTCTGTACAGCGACCGGCTATGCGTGCATGCGTGGCTTTTGTATGCAGGTTCGACTGTATGTTGACTTGGCGTTCTGCCCCCCCTCTCTCTCTCTCTCACTTCCACTCTATCTTTCTCTGACTCTCACTCCTCTTCTCTTTCTCTTTTCTCTCATTCTCTTTCTCTCTCTCTCTCTCTCTCGCTCACTCTCTTTCTTTCTCTCTCTCTCACTGCCACTCCCTTTCTCTCGCTCTCCCTCCCCTTCTCTTTCCCTTTTCTCTCTTTTTCTCTGTCTCTCTCTCATTTTCTCTCACGCTTTCTGTCGCTATTTTTCTGGACTCTCAGCGTCTCTGTCTCTGCTCTACTAGACTCTTTTTGTAGTTTTATTTCTTCTCGGAGCAATAATTTGGAGCGCGTCTACGCTACAATATAATAAACACCAGTACTCATTGCGGGACCCATCCAAAGGTTAGGGTTAGGCAGAGAGAAAGAGAGCGCGAGAAGGAGCGGGGAGAGAGAAACAGAAAGAGAGAGAGAGAGCGCGAGAGAGAGGGAGAGAGAGAGAGAGGGGGAGCGGGGGAAGAGACCTCTATCAACCATCGCGTTATTGTACACACCTCCCGCCCGTCACCCCAACCCAGACACACACCCACGCGACTACCGCCTTACCTGCCTACCATCTTACAGGTGCAGATGCGGTGCAGACGCTTGAGAGAGAGCTGACCAGCAAGAACGTTAGCAGTGACGCCCCGAGTTATAAAACGACCGAGGTGGACGGTAGATGGCGCTGCACACTCGTCATACCAGTCAGTGCGGAGAGCGAACGCAAGATGACGAAGAAGGCAGCTTCGCAGAACGCCTGTTACAAGGCTCTCCGTTTGCTTAACATGCCTGCGCAAGGTATGACACCACACAGAGAGAGAGGGAGGGAGGAGGGAGGGAGAGAGGAATGGGGGGAGGAAGGGAGGAGCGAGGGAGGAGGAAGAGTGGGAGAGAAAAAAAGGATGGAAGGAGGGAGGGAGAGAGAGAGAGGGAGAGGGAAAGAGAGAGAGAGAGAGAGAGAGAGAGAGAGAGAGAGAGAGAGGAGAGAGAGCGAGAGTGAAGCGAGTGAAAAGAGAAAGAAAGAGGAAGTGAGCAAGAGAAAGAGAGAAAGAGAGAGAGAGAGAGAGAGAGAGAGAGAGAGAAGGAAAAGTGTGTGTGTGTGTGTGTGTGTGTGTGTGTGTGTGTGTGTGTGTGTGTGTGTGTGTGTTGTGTGTGTGTGTTGGTGTGTGTGTGTGTTGTGTGGCGTGTGTGCTATGTTGGGCACATTCTCTGCTTCTCTCTCTCTCTCTCTCTCTCCTCTCTCTCTCTCTCTCTCTCTCTCAGTTTCTCTCTCTCCTCTCCTCTCTCTCGTTCTCTCTCTCTTCTTTCTCTCTCTCGTCTCTAACCTTCTCTCTCTCTATCAACCCTCTCTCAACGACCCTGCTCGCCGCTATATTTTTCAGAAAAACTCGAGAATTGCATCGGTATGCTGAAGAGAGTAACCTCCGACAAGCACGCAGCTGGAGCGCCGCCAGCATAGTGTCACAAGCAGCTTGTCGCCATCGTTAAGCTTTGTCTCATCTTCGACGGATCAAGCAGCGTCGACGAGCACGGATCCCGCAGGATGGCAGGGCAGCTGCCGCTATGAAGGAACTGCGGCTCGGTCGGCTCGGGGGGGGGGGGGGGAGGGGGGGGAGGGGGGGGGGGGGGGGGGGGGGGCGGGGGGGGGGGGGGGGGGGGGGGGGGGGGGGGGTGGGGGGGGGTGGGCGGGGGCGGCGCGACGTGGTTGACCTCCGACGGGAGCGTCTCTGCTGACGGCCAAGGCGGTGACGATGCAACAAGATTTGCAGAGCGAACGAAACGCCGTCGTCATGATGGGTGGAGGCGGCAACGACCGATCCGGGCGTAGTCGCGACAGCTTTTCGGTGGCGGATTGCGGCGGGCCAAGTTCACAAGCACGGCGGCCTCGCTATCAAACGTGTAGCTTAGTAGAAGAAGGACGGAGGGGCGGTAAAGGTAATATCATGCACGGACGCGTGTGCAATATGTAATACGTAATATATAAGTTAATAAAAGTATATAAGTAATAAAGTAAGTAAATAAATATAAATCATAAAATGAGGGGGTTGTGCGCGCGTATGCAACGTGCTGAGTAAATATATATATATGTATATAATACTAGAAAAAATGGTACACACAAGACGCACACACACGCGCACGCACGCACAGCAACACACACACACACGCACGCACGAACGCACGCACACAACGCACACACACACGGCACACGCAACGCGCAGCGCGCGCGCGCGCAACAGGCACACCACATCCACACAACACACTCGGCACGCGCACGCGCGCGCGCGCGCACACGACACTCATATAATAGATATATATATATAGCATATATATATATATATATATCGTCATTACGGCTTCACTACTTCCAGACTACTTGCACTACGGCAAGATTCTACAACAGAAATTTGGCAGCAGTAGCGACATCCGCTACGAGCCGCTAGATGGCAGCAGCGGCAGCAGCAGCAGCAGCGATGTCCGCATCTTCATCAGCATCCGAGGCGAGCCGCACCGAGCGAAGAAGACTGCGCATCAGGACGCCTGCAGACGCGTACTGGAGATGCTAGGACAGCCTGCGGGGGCGGCGAGCCAACGCAACCAGCTTCAGGAGTTCTTCCAGAAGCGAAACCAGCCGCTGCCGTCGCTAGACGACGCGCCGGCGACGAGCGGCGACGGCTTCGTCGCCATCGTCAAGCTGCAGCTCGTCGTCCAAGGCGTCGGCGCCGACGGGTGGCCGGCGACGGCCGCCAGGAAGGCTCTCGGCGTGCTCGGTCTCTTTGGCGACGACGAACTTACGACGACCGTGCCGTCTGCTGTGTTGCCGCCGCCGCTTGCTCCCGCTGCCGTCGTCTCGCCGAGTTCCGCCTATAAGAATCGTCTGCAGGAGCACATCGTCGCGCTCGGGCAGCCGGTGCCGACGTATTCCGTGTCGGACGACAGGCGGCGCTGCAGGGTGAGCTTCCGGGCGCGCGGCGCGTACGACGGGCCGCATGCCGCGTCTGCTTTGCTCGCCGAGGCTGCAGCCGCCGCCGACGTCCTGCGCGACTACTTCTTCGAAGTCGCGGCGCCACATGGCGACGGGAGCGCACGCAAGCGTCTCGTCGACGCCGTCGCGCGCCGCCTGGAGGACCCGCCGCAGTTCGCGACGCGACGCGTGCCGTCGGAGGGCGCTGGCGGCGGCGTGTTCCGGTGCGTGATCCGGTCGGGCTGCATCACGCGCGAGACCGCGTTTGTAATTGAACAGGAATTTTCCGGGGGTTTGCAGGTGAAGCGAGCGATCAAGGAGGCTAACATGGACGTCGCTAGATTATCCTGTGAGCTTCTGGGAGTGATCTAACCATAGAAATAATATAGAGAACCTAAATATATAGTTATCTATATTATTTCTATGGATCTAACAACTCTGCCTCAACATAACCATCGTTATCATAATATAAAAATTTCAGGGTATAATAATGACAAATTTTTAATTAACCCCTGAAAATATGAACCTATAATATAAAAATTCCTCCTATAAGAATTATTCCATCCTTCGAAATTGATTCATGAATCCAACAAACTATAAATCGAACGCTATCGCATCCTAAAATTAAATTCGTCTTGTAAATCCAATCAATCGATATCGAATCGATAACATATCGATCGACAACTTGAACGTCAGTCAGAGTGATGAATGAACGAGTGGATGTTTTTAGTGGATTAGTTGTTCGACCGATAGCAGACGCGAAATGTGAACAGATGAAGTAGATGCACATCAGGAGTGTATAATATCCCTATTATACACTCCTGATGCAAATGTATCGTATCAGGAGCGTATAATGACAAGACAAGTGTTTGTCATTATACGCTCCTGATCGTATGTAGGCTAAAGATAGCCTAGCGTGTTGACACTGTAACTGCCCTATTGCTACTGAGACAAATCGTGTGCCTTGTGTTTATATTTTACCTATTGTCTTTGAGCTGCGAAACACTTGGCATCAATTATATGTTATCGTAAATTATCGTAATCAATTATGTTAACGTAACCTTATTCTATCAGGCCGCACATATGTTATGTATTATACATACATACACACACACACACACACACACACACCGCACACACACACCAACACACACACACACACACACCAACCCCACAACATCACACTTATACACACACACACACGACACACCCACAACACCACACACACACACACACACTCACCAACACATGCACAACACACACCACACAACAAACACATCACACACACACACAGCACTACGTCCCACACCACACACGCGTTCGTGTTGCTGTGCGTGAGGGGGGGGGGGGGGGGGGGGGGGGGGGGGGAGGGGGGGGGGGGGGGGGGGGGGGGGGGGGGGGGCCCCCAGTTTGGCGTGTGCGTTATGTGATTGTGCTGTGTCTAGTATGCGTGCGGTGGACCTGTGCCGTTCAATGCGTACGTGTGTTGTTAGTTCTGTGGGTTATGCGTCGCTGCATCACACACACCACACACACACCACACTACACACACCCACACACACACGCACACACACACATCACACCCACAAACACCGCACACAACACACCCACCCACGCCATTGGCACACACACCCACATCACACACACACACACACACACACACACACACACAACACAGCACACCACACACACACCCACACACACCCATCACACACACACACACACACACAACACACACCACACACAAAACACAACACACACACAGGACACACAACACACCACACACCACACGAACACATCACACTAAATTATATATATATAATATAACACTCACGCGCACGCACGCAGACGCACGCAATTTGCTCGCACACACGGCACGCATCTTACGCGCGACTGCCCACACTGCACGCCGCACGCGCACGCGCGCACACTCATCACACACACGGCGCGCACACACACATATACACGACACATACCGCGCGCACCCACTACACACGCACATACTATCTATTGTCGTGCGTGTGTGTTGTGTGTGTTGTGTGTGTTGTGTGTGTGGTGATGATTGTGTTACAGGTTGGTGCTTGTGTTGTGTTGTGGCTGTGTGTTGTTTGTGTTGTGTGTGTACGGTGTATGTGTGTAGTGTGTGTGCGTGTTCGTGTGTCTCTTGTTTCCCGTGACGTAAGGTGATTGCGTTGCGTGCTTGCGTTCTTGTGGGTGCTGCTGACGTACGTGTCTCTTGGGGCGTGCATGTGATTATGTTTCGTGTGTACGTGTATGCGTGTGTGTTCGTTTTATGTGTGTGTTGTGTGTGTTTGTGTTATGCATGTGTGTGTGACGGTGTCATGTGTTCTGTGCGTATGTCGCTGTGCGTCGTCGTTGTCATGTGTGCGATGTGCGTTGTGCGTTGCGTTTTCGTGTGCGTCTTGTGCGTACTTGTGACGTGTTCTTTGATCGTACGTGTGTGTATAGTGTCCTGTGCTGGCTGCGTGCTGTGCTTCGTGCGTCTACGTGTTGTGCTATCGCAAGAAAACTATGGTTAGCTATTCAGTAAATACTATCATAACCTATATACGGACTTGCGCGATCCCGCTGTTAAAGAGCATTACATGGAAATCCGGCTTTAATAACGCTATTTACAGAGATTCACGAATTTAAGGAACCGTTCACAGAAAAGACAGAATATTACCGCGAAATCCCGTCGACTACCTACTGGGGCCCACCGGTGAGAAAATACCTATTATGATCATTTCTTCCGCGTGAAAGTAAACTGCTGAGCGGCTTTCCGGATTTGTATGATACGGGTATATGGTTAGTACTGTCGATTAAAAACTATGTGGCTAATCATTTGACGAAATCGCCGGTTGGGATAAAAACTCTTATAGGTGTTAGCGTGCGTTTATGTGTTAGGATGGCATATGATGTTTCAAATAATAATTTTTTTATTATACTAATTATAATAGCTAAATAATATTCTCTCTTACCGAATCATCACTTCTCTCTCTTCTTCTTCTTCTTCTTCTTCTTCTTCTTCTTCTGTCTCTTCTCTTCTTAACTTACTTCTTCTACTCTCTATCTCGTTTTTTGCGTCTTCTCTTTCTTTCCTGTCCTTCTTCCATCGTCTTCTTTCTTCTCCCTTCTTCCTCGTCTTTCCTCTCTACTTCTTCTCATTAATATATATAATAATAATATAATAATATAATAATAATAACATTATTATTATTATTATTATTACTGTTATCATCATCATCGCCACCATCATCATATATAGGGAGTACGGTATGAGTAAGTTCTAGTAGAATAACTGCTGGAGGTCACAGCACACCACAAGCCACCGATCGGCTCAATGTTTAATAGCTTCGGTAAGTTTCTCTCCACCGCGGGTGTGGTGGTACCAAGCTCATACCAACCCTGCGTCTCCCTCGAGATACCTGTGTCGAGTTAGTGTGTGGCGTATGCTGTGTGTGTTGATGTGATGTGATGTGTGGTGTGTATGATTG